TGCACCGATATGAAAATTTTGGCCGATACCGATAACCGATTATTCTTTATTTTTGAAAGCCGATAACCGATATGTTGGCCGATAAATCTATATCCAAATTGTTATATACTTTTTGAGAGCCTGATTACAAAAAAGGTCTCATCATTAAAAGCCACATCCCAAACACTTCAACATAAGCAGCCTAGTTTGAACGGTGTACGTTTTAAAAATATTTTTACTCTCCCATTACCAAATTTAGTCATAAAAAAAGTCTTAAAGCTGAAGAGCTGAATGAACACGGTAAACTGAAGCGTTTTGCTGGCAGCTTATTTAACTCAAGGAAATGCATCCTGAGATTAATATTAATACCACATAAACATAATATTACAACTTATATATGTACAAAATGATGCAGTTATTGCGTGCTATAGTCAGAATGTGTGATCCTGTTGTGGATGCGCTCTTCCCATAACAACGCGCTGAAACACGGCAACTAAACCCAAAGAATTCCCAACGTTTTATTATAATAATGTTCTCATTAGAATGTTATATACACGACATTCCCAATCATAGTTATTAATGTTGTGCACTGCTGTTTGAGCTGCGTGTGCTGAGCTAAAGATGATCACCGGTAAACTGAAGCGCTCTTTTAACTTAACCAAACGCATTCTATATGAGATAAATCAGATATACATCAAATAAACACAATATTACAATGTACAATTGCACAAAAGGCTGCAAACGAACAGCGCACATCTGAAGTGTCTCTGAAGGAAATAATGCATTATTTATCGGCTTTAAGATATCGGCCAAATTTTCTTATCAGGCCGATACCGATAACAAAAAAATGAGCCGATACCGATATGGTGGCCGATATATCGTGCATCCCTAAGTTTTGGTTTAGTTTTTATTTTGTGAACGCATTTTTATTTAGTTTTTATATAGTTTAGTTTCAGTTTTAATTAAAGTTTAGCAGAATTAACAGATCATTTCCAGAGCGCAGGCCAAAGAAAGACGTAGGCATAATTTAACCTTCGTGAGGCAAACATATAGCGACACAAAATTAACGCATGCTGAGATTGATTAGATAGTAAAAGTATACAAATATACTCCAAAGAAAGCAGGCAAGGCTTTTTTTTTACTAAATTAATCTACACAAGTCGCGCTTAATGTCATATCCAATGATGTGTGTTGAGATATTTAGCATGAAAATAAATGTAGCCTGATTTGGTTATATGTCTTTTCTTATTTAACCATAATCATGATATTGTAACTGGTGTCTTGCTCACTTTTCCGTGAACAGCTGTGCATCAAGCAAAACTGGGACTAATGAAATTCAATAATAACGGCAATCGCATTTAACAGTAAAGGCTTATGTTTGAATGTTGTGCGGTTCGGGTCGCGACTCGTGGTCTTTATGTCAAATGGTTCTCATCTGGTACAGAATTAAATTAGTGCTGCTGTCAGATAATGGGTCAGGTGTTCTGTTAAATACTGCTGGTGCACGTTTACCAAACAGGACCCATGCAGGCTTTAAACTGCTTTGCGTCTCTCCGTCAGATAACCCCATGTGCGTGATGCGCCATTACATAGGCTATTTATTTCCCTAAACCTCCACACAGCTCGTATATTTTTCCGCCAAGGGGTGAGAACGTAATGATTATGAAAACGATTATTTATTTTATTTCAGTTAGTTTTTCAATAACTGTAGTTAGTTTAGTTTTTCAATTATTTTGACATTTTTATTTTATTTCAGTTTACGAAAATGTTTTTTCATCAATCGTTTTAGTCTTAGTTTTCATTTTTACGAAAATAACCTTGGTTCCAACTGCAGATGTGCTGAGTGAGGTTTGCTAAAAGTGGCACTACCAGGCTTGGTTGATGGGAACTAATCAATTAAACATAAATAAAATTAAACAGGACATAAAATGAGAAACAGTTCTCCTGTAAGACTGACAGGGAGAGAGAGAAAAAGGGAACAACATGCACTTGCACAAGGGTGAAATAAAAGTATAGTTTAGTAGATGTTCAACTAGAAATTCATAAAAATACAGAAAAAATGACTTTAGCGATGCCAACACTGCTTTAAGTGTTCAAACTCTGTGTGCATCCTTGGAAATGTTAATAGTCTGCTATAGTTTCTTATGCACATCCATTTTTATAAGAGAAAAAAATATTTAAATTTCATACAAGCAGAGATCCATTCAAATGTGTCTCCATTCATCTCTGAACTTTGACCATTGTTCGTTAAACAGATAACCACACAGGCAAAATTTATGTAAACCACCTGTCAACCATACAAAGACAAATATTTGGAATGCTCTACATCACATCCAGAAGCTGCAATCTTTTCTATGAGATGGGCTGTCCTTCCTTACTCTTTGTTTAACAGTGCAGCATGAGATGTACAGATGTAATCCTCCAGAAGAGAATTTGATCTAGAGGGGGTGGGTTGGTTCAGTCCTGTGGTCTCCCCACTGGATGTGCCATGCATTGCTGTTAGGCAATGTGCCAGATGCTGTGCAGCTTAACCCAAAAACAACAACTGTACCACAACCCACTGACACTCCCCTGCTTCCAGTCTCTCCATTCTCTCCGAGACGCACCATTACGGAAAAGTATAGTTTAGTAGATGTTCAACTAGAAATTCATAAAAATACAGAAAAAATGACTTTAGCGATGCCAACACTGCTTTAAGTGTTCAAACTCTGTGTGCATCCTTGGAAATGTTAATAGTCGGCTATAGTTTCTTATGCACATCCATTTTTATAAGAGAAAAAAATATTTAAATTTCATACAAGCAGAGATCCATTCAAATGTGTCTCCATTCATCTCTGAACTTTGACCATTGTTCGTTAAACAGATAACCACACAGGCAAAATTTATGTAAACCACCTGTCAACCATACAAAGACAAATATTTGGAATGCTCTACATCACATCCAGAAGCTGCAATCTTTTCTATGAGATGGGCTGTCCTTCCTTACTCTTTGTTTAACAGTGCAGCATGAGATGTACAGATGTAATCCTCCAGAAGAGAATTTGATCTAGAGGGGGTGGGTTGGTTCAGTCCTGTGGTCTCCCCACTGGATGTGCCATGCATTGCTGTTAGGCAATGTGCCAGATGCTGTGCAGCTTAACCCAAAAACAACAACTGTACCACAACCCACTGACACTCCCCTGCTTCCAGTCTCTCCATTCTCTCCGAGACGCACCATTACGGTCTTTTTTTTAGACTATACACACTGCTGTTCACTTTTTCCAGGACCACTACTCTGCTTTAGTGCACTAGGCTGCTGCTGAGGGTTCATGCGTGATAAGATATTTAATGTATGAAGCATTAAGAAGAAAAAAATGTGGTCTTTTCATGATCTATAGCTACCATGTAGTGACTATGGAGAAACCAAGCAGGTCAGCAGCATTCTAATGCATTGTGGACTTTACAGGGCACAAAATAATTACGGTAATAGGAATTTGAAACTATGCAAATAAAAAAGGATCACATGATAGCCGATAACCTTTAAGATGGATGATGAATAAATGCCTCCAAATTTACAATGTCAGACTGGCACTAATAGTTAAGGCTTCTGGCTTGGATATTTTTCAATTTTCATATAAACATAACTGGGAATTTGAGAATATGACATGAAAATATGAGTCAATATGGATCTTATTCCGAAGTTTGACCATCATGGTCAGCTTACGTCTTGTTTCTTACCTTATATGGTACCTCTGAAAGTGCATGTTGCATTTAATGTACACAATAAGAAACAGGTCATTGTGTACATTAGATCACTGGATATTTTTGCTTTTCCCAGAGGTATGAGAACAATGGTACAATGGTAATGTGAGGTCTAAACGCTGACTGCCATGACTGACAACAGTGTGTAATTCTCCCACCTCAGCAGAAACAGACACAAACAAAGGGAGGAGACTTATTCACACAAGTGAACGCTTCAGACGGAGCACATAACTGTCAGCCAAACAGTAGCCTAATGCACATATGGATGTACAGAGATGCATTAAAACACAGGTAATGATGCACACTCACACTTCAGGTGAATGGCATATCACTATGTCCATAAGTTGCTGCCAAAATTGTGCATCAATTTATTTGATTTTTTTCATAATTTTTAAATCGATTCGCTGTTTTAAGTTAACAGTATGCCAAGGCTGCAGGTTTTGGATTCAAGGGCAATAAGACTAATCTCTTCAATGGCACTCTTCCATATGCATTATTGCTAAATAACATGTACAATTCTTAGTAGTATTACTAGTAATAGTAGTCAATTGCATGATATGACTAGTCATGTGATATCAACAAGGCGGCACCCATGGGGGTGACCCACTCTATAGAGCAGGGTTCCTCAAATCTTGCCCTGGAGGGCCAATGCGCTGCAGAGTTTAGCTCCAACCCTGATCAAACTCACCTACCTGTGATTTTCTAATGATCCTGAAGACATCGATTAGCATGGTCATGTGTGTTTGATTAGGGTTAGAGCTAAACTCTGCAGGAAAGTGGATCTCGTGGGCCAGATTTGAGGATCCCTGCTATAGAGGATAATTATTTTTTTCTAATATTATGAATATTACATGAGTCGTCTCATGTAAATGTACATCATTTTAACTATATTTCTCAAGTGTTTCGTTTTATTTATTTAATAAATAAATACATAAATAAACACTGAGTGCACAACTGAGCTCAAAATTAGTGCCAAATTAACTGTAATTAGCTGAAAATGAATGTTAACTGACTCTTTTTAAAAGTAGGCAGTTTCACAAATGTAGGGTAAATAGCCTAACTTATTAGAGGGAAACATTTTTCCATTATAATGATAGATACAGTAACACTGCTGTTTAGTAGTAATAACCCATTATGTATAAATCAGCATACTGTAGATGTCTGTTAGACAACATTTGTCCATGAATGTCTTGGCACAGCCAGCCACAAAGCAAAAATGCGACAGGAATTTAGTCAAGGGAAACTCAGGGAAGCTATAAACCACATCAACTAAAACTTACCATCCGTACAACTGCATTAAACCGTGTTAGTAGACTGCATTTCCATGACCAGGAGAAATTTTAATCCAAATCAATGAAATCCGATTCTCAAGTCGAGTCTTTCAGAAACGCATGTAGTGATCTGGGCAAGAATACCACATGCACACCGAACAGCTGAACTTTTTTCGTCTGAGTGTTATTGCGAAAAATCGCCTCCCTTTTGGTCAACTTTGACAACTCTTTCACAAAAGATGCAGCAGTAACAGTAAAGGCTCCGTTTTAACACATGCACGCGATTCGCCGTGGGGAATGACGCAGGGAGTGGGCGGAGCAACACCGCCGCCGCTGCTGCTGTTTAATTAGCTGCTGCTGGATCTGTCTATAAACACAGAGCAGTTGTTAAATGCCTCGTGGTAAATTGATCTTTTTAGAGCCATATTTGGCAGTTTTAAGCTTTAAAACTATTCCAAGTGGAATGACAATTTTATATTCAAACTGAAAGCCCGTTGTGTAATGTTAAGAGGTAATGCCTTTTGAACAGTTGATAGGCCTATATTTGACTATATTCTGTTGTGATGTTAATCTACCATATTTTGGTTTTATCATAACAGCAGTAATTAGCTACGGAGATTTATTTTTCCAATTAATTGCTCCGGTTCATTCGATTCAAGTACTTAGATACAGTGTTGGGGGTAATGCATTACAAGTAACGCGAGTTACGTAATCAGATTACTTTTTTCAAGTAACTAGTAAAGTAACGCATTACTTTTTAATTTACAAGAAAATATCTGAGTTACTTTTTCAAAAAAAGTAACGCCAGTTACTTTGTTTTCCCAAGTATTGACTGACAAGTCTTCTGTCCTCATATTGGGAGAAATCGGAAGTACAGAGGAGTTGTGTGCGCTGTGTGAACATGATGTAGTTCTAGACTAAATGTGAATGTGCATTAATTCATCCCACTCACAAAAAAACAGATTTAGTATTCATCAAAATGAATTAAAACACTGAAACGCAAACTCAGAATATGACGCAAACCTGCAATAATTAAATATGTTAAATAACACAAATGTATCAAATCCCATTTTATTAACTAATGTCTTTGCTGCTGACCTTTGATGATCCAGTTTAACCATGCTAATAAGCAAAAAGGACTTTAGATAAACTAACAATTGTGCTTCATTGTTTTTTTTATTTCTGAAGAGTGCTGAACCTTCTTGTGTTCTACTGTACAGACGTGAATTTACTTTGACTTCAGCCTGAGGTTTATTCATTACACTTTTTGGTGGGAAAGGGCTTTTACATTTGCTATAAATAGAACTTCTTATATTAAAAACAATCAACCCCTTCTCATATTTAAAAAGTAACGCGAAAGTAACGCGAAAGTAACGTAACGCATTACTTTCCATAAAAAGTAACTAATGTAATTAGTTACTTTTTATGGAATAACGCAATATTGTAATGCATTACTTTTAAAAGTAACTTTCCCCAACACTGCTCAAGGGTGTGCTGTGTTGCAAACATGCTTAAATATATAGTACAGGAAACAAACATGGCGTGTGTTAAATAGTATTATTGAATTAAACGTTTTTCCAGTCTTTATTTTTATAATTAAGTAACAGAGCACGATGTTAGTGCATGCGATTGATCAGACTCACCATGTATGGATATCCATTTAATGAGTATCTGTACAGAAAGGCATCATGGATTTGATGTCTGGAAAACACGGCCAATCCGCTCCCTATAAATCCACTGAAGACAAGAAAATGCATCTTTATCTGTGTCCTTATTCATATCAGTTAGTGCATTCAAGCCCAAACTTTTCAGGGACACAGAACCTCTAGTAAAAACATTGTTGTGTATCATTTTCATGCATTATAGATCATGACTGACCTTTTAAAATAATGGGAATACGGATAGATGCTGCTAAGCTTCTTCTTTAAAAACAGAAAGTCTCTTTCACACCAGACCTATAACAAACAGCCCCAAAAAAACATGCCATTTTACAGTACAAAAAACTATCTACTGACATATTTGAATCTTATTGTTCAAACAGTTAATGTAACGAGTATAAATCATTTTTAAAAACCCGATGTGTGGAATAACTGTGACACTAAAAGTATTACGAATAGCCATATTTTATGCATGTAGAATGTATTTGGCTGCGTTTAAACATCTGTGCATGTACATGTGTATTTGTTTTACCTCCTGCAGTAACGCTAGATCAAGCTGTTCCTGATTCAGCAGGTCTCCGATCCGAACAAATCGCTCTTTGCAGTTCTTACTGAGGTATCGGATCCCCCTAAAACAATCACAACCTTTTACATTTGCTATAAATAGAACTTCTTATATTAAAAACAATCAACCCCTTCTCATATTTAAAAAGTAACGCGAAAGTAACGCGAAAGTAACGTAACGCATTACTTTCCATAAAAAGTAACTAAGTAACGTAATTAGTTACTTTTTTAGGGAGTAATGCAATATTGTAATGCATTACTTTTAAAAGTAACTTTCCCCAACACTGTATAAGTAAATAAACTAAAATGTAAGTACATTTCTGTCACTATAATCTACAATTACTAAAAGTATGAATCATAACCTCTGGGAATCCCCAGCTGAGTTTTGTCTAGGCATGGCAAATCAGATCATAAAAACCAAGACTTAAGACTCTCAACTCCTTTTCGGACCAGACTTGTCCTGCCTTTAGTCTCATTCAGTGTCCTCACAAACAGAATCACATGCCTTGAAGCTTAAATAAACAAAATACCTTGTTAAAAGCAGCAACTCTTTTGTGAGGAACTGTATGTTCCTCACAGAAAATGTATGAAGTGAATTCTTTTTCAGGGCTGGCAGGAACTTTCATGACTGTTTGTATCAAACAGGAACATGAAAAATGTCTCAGAACAAAAAACTGCTGTGATATTTTCGTTTGCTCTCAAACACAACTGCATGTGAACATCTCTGTTTATGATTTAAATGCTGATTAGAAATGTTATGATTAACACAGGGGCTGTTGATTTGTTAGCTTTAATTTTACTTGATCACAGTTGTCTTATATCAGCATATAATATTTGTTACTATTTATTCGCCCTCATTATTCACTTTTATGTAATAGGCCTACAACTGATTGGAGATGGAGAATTATAAAATAAAAAAACCTTGGATTTTTAATGTAATATTCAGAAGGCTGCTGTCTGCAGATTAAGTATTGTACTCTTCATCTGCAGGAATCCATAGAAACAATGAGGTACACAGGCATTCTTGGGCCCAGGTGGTTTTGATTTGGGAGGCGCTTGTGTGCCTTTAGGTCATTTATTATTTCAAGGGAAGTCAAATTAACTATGAAGACAATGTTGCACTTTCAGACTGCTCAACACCCACAGATTGACCACTGGCCATGCCAAGTCGAGCAGAGACATTTTGGCATTTTTGGAAGACATAATCAGAAAGGAAAATTATAGAAATGGAATAGACATTAATGCAAGAGAAAACTGACATCGCCCACAGCACCTTGAGAGAGTACTCTCCCCTTAATTTTATGTCTAGAATTTGTTTTACTTCCAGATTTTATTGAAATAACAATTCATTTAACACAAAGAAAGCAATCACCCCCATGAGTTCATGCTGTAGATTTACTCCTCAAGTAGCAACTACTGTACTCTTAGTTATGTCTGCATGAACTTTCCACATTTCAGTTCTTCAGATTCCCTCCATCTCTGCCAAATTAGAAAGTGTTGGCTTGCAGCAGTGTTCAGGTCATATCAAAAATATTCAATTGGATTAATGTCTCAGCACAGACCGAACCATTCCTGAATTATAAGCTTATTTGAACCATTCCATCATACTTTTGTGTGTGAGTGTGTGTGTGCTATTTATCATCCTGCTGGAACATAAATATTCAGTCAAATCCAGAGTATGCTGCTGCCACCATCAATCTGATTATAGGGATGTATGGTTTTACCAGGGTGTTTGTGGTAAACATCTTTAGTCTATTGATCAGATCAAAATTTCACAATTTCAGATCAGATTTCTTCCTAAACTTTTTTCTTTGAGGATTTTGTCACTTGCTTTCAAGGAAACTGCACACAAGGTTTGCCATTCTTCTATTTCCTTACTATTGTACTTTTAGAAATTGTTTTCACAACCTAATCATCATCACCATCACATTTCAGAGGTTATATATATATATATATATATATATATAATTTAGTTTTTTTTTACAAAATCATCACTATTGAGTTTCAGTGGTGAAATTAAGGAATTATTTAATTTATTTTTGGCATGAATGACTGTAAATACTCAATAATAAAGATGTTTAGTGTCTTTGTAGCGACATGCCATTTTATATCTAATGTTGTCACTTGATATTAAAAAAATCATAATCACTAATAAATTTCACAGGTAAAACTGTATTGATTGATTGATTGCATGAATGATTGTGAATATTTATGTTCAGTGATTTTTGAAATCAAATTTCTATAAAGGGGATTACAAAAGTATATTCTGATCTGTTGTTAGTTATGAAACTAACATTGATATTTATTTTGCAGTCAAGCAGTTGAACACATAACTGTAAGGTCTGCGTAAGAGCTTTGCCAAAACAGATAAACAAATCATAAATATTTCCAGTGTTGGTAGGCTACAGCAAATAAGAGGTTACTGTGTATCGAATCCTCACAACTCATATTTCACAACATTGCCTAGATTCTTATCTGTGATGCAAACAGGAGCCAGTATCACATTTGCAGCTCGTTTGATAATAAGCAGTTCTTGCTAATCTATAAATCATATCGACCACAGTTTCATGAAGTTACGAGTTAATATTCTGAGAAAGTCACCAAGTATAACAGAATCCTGTCAGCTAACAGGGTGGACTGTGTTTTAAATCAGCAAAGACGCTGGATAAGTCAACATAATCACAAGCTTCCAAGCCTCAACATTTCGCGGCGGGAATATGCACGTCAAACACTTTCCCTTTAAGGAAAAGACAGAATTTTACATAACTATGAGTCATCATTGACAATGCCAGAGCAACATGTTTCAACCATATTGAAGGATGAAGGTGTTATGCTCACTTCTGACCCTTAGGCTGAGCATTTTCTTTCAGTGTTAAGAGATGAGCTAAGCTGAAATATTAATGCAGTGAGGCTATTGCGCAGGCAGACATAATACAACCTTCCACCACAGCTGGCCAGATGGCCAAACGTCTGCAGAAACCAGACAACACACCAGGCCAAGCACAAGAAAAGACCGGAGACTCAACACTATATGTGACCCTGGACCACAAAACCAGTCATGAGGGTCAATTTTTCGAATTTTAGATTTATACATCATCTGAAAGCTGAATAAATAAGCTTTCCATTGATGTATGGTTTGTTAGGATAGGACAAAATTTGGACAAATACTTGAAAATCTGGAATCTGAGGGTGCAAAAAAATCTAAATATTGAGAAAATCGCCTTTAAAGTTGTCTAAATGAAGTTCTTAGCAATGCATATTACTGATCAAAAATTTAGTTTTGATATATTTACGGTAGGAAATTTACAAAATATCTTCATGGAACATGATCTTTACTTAATATCCTAATGATTTTTGGCATAAAAGAAAAATCAATAATTTTGACCCATACAATGTATTTTTGGCTATTGCTACAAATATACCCCAGCGACTTAAGACTGGTCTTGTGGTCCAGGGTCACATATATTGTTGGTAAACAAGCATCCACTGCTTTGGGAGAAGACTGAATGAAAAATGACCAAAAAAGAAGAGCGTTTAAATACAAGAACCCTGACATAAGAGAATCTGTTCACTAACTGGAATACAACTGTGTTTTCTCTCAACAGAGTAAACACAAACGTATTCTCAATGAGTGTTTCGGCTCTGGGGTTTTTCATCTAGAATTATAGCAATAACTTATACATGCAAATGGATAGTCAGCAATCTAGAAGCCAACATACATTCATTTACATAGCTGAAATGCTCATTAGTGGTTGTACAAGTTTGCTAGTCTGGGATTTTAAAATGACTCAGTGGTCATCAACTGACAAACTCCAAATGCTTAACTTTAGAAGTATATACCTCTGTGCTTCGGAAAACACACACTACGGCGAGGCCAAGTCCAACATTCTGGATGAAGATGGGCTGCAATTGTTTTGTTATTTAATTTTTATGAAATTAATATTTTTTATTCAGCAAGGAGGCATCATCACATTAGTTGCACCAAATCAGCATATTAGAGTGATTTCTGAAGGGTCAATGTGCAACTTAAATAGGAAAGTAATGTAAATTGATGCAGTGAGTGCCCCGCTGCCTACCCTCCAAGAACTGTATACATCCAGAGTGAGGAAAAGGGCTCAGAAAATCACTCTGGATCCATCATATCCAAGCCATCTCCTTTTTGAACTTTTGCCATCTGGTCGGCGTTACAGAGCACCGAATACCAGGACAGCCAGGCACAAGAACAGTTTCTTTCCCCAGGCAATCTACCTCATGAACAGTTAATGTTCTCCCATTGTGCAATTAAAGTACAGTATGTGCAATAACCTTATACTTATTTATCACCCTAAATCCTAGTACATCCCTACAACTTTATTTTATTTTATTCTATTCCTATTCTATCTATAGCACACCTGTACATACAATTTATTATTTTTTTGTGGTTTATATTTATGCATGTGTATTTTATTCACATCTTATTTTTATTATCTGTGTGTTGTTGTTGTCTCTGTGTACTGGAAGCTTGTGACACTATAACAAATTCCTTGTATGTGCAAACATACTTGGCAATAAAGCTCTTTCTGATTCTGATTGTACTAATATTTCACAATGCTTCTGTTTTGGTTTACTGTATTTTTCAACAAATAAATGCAGCCTCGGTGAGAATGAGACTTCTTTCAAAAAACATTTGACCAATTCCAAACTTTTGAAAAGTAGTACGTATGTGTTAGTCATACAAAATTAATTTACATGGCATTCTAAAAAGACTTACTGTTTTAGTACAAAAATCGAACTTATAGTATTTGTAGTTGTTCATTTTTGACATTTGTCTGAATTTGTCTCCCATATGTGAAAAATTCAAAGTAATGCTTCTTCACAAAATAAATAACAGATGATGTTTGAGGCACTTTCAAGACCGTAGTTTATTTCATGGTAATAAGAAAGTATATACATTGGGGTCCCTTTATATTGAGTCCTAAAGCTACACATGTGATTTGAATTTTCTTTCACTCCGAGACACTTTTCAGACACTCCAAAAATCCCCCATGTCTTAAATCAACTC